GAGGACACGGCTCGCCGGATCTCTTCATCCTCGATCCCATCAGATGAAGATACACACTCCACATTTTCTATGTCAATTGCTGCCATTTTCTGGAGAAATGAAAAATAAAAATAAAAAAAAGATCTCCCAAATTCCTAGCTTCAGACACCTCTGTAGCTCGATCTGTTTAAGATCCAAACGCAAAACCTTGAGCAGACAATTTTTTTCTTCAACAATCTCGAAGACCCATTTTCAGAAATTCAGCAATTGGGAGAAATATATCAGATGCCCATTCTGAAAGTTTGATCTTTGAGCGAAATTTGAGATGCCCTTTTCGAAAAATCAAATCTTTCTTTGATTTAATAGGCGCATTTAATCCTTCTCCCTTCACTTTACTTTCTTCGGCTTGTAATTTTTCAGACGAATCTGAATTAAAAAAAAAAAAAAAACTGAAAAAAAAATGAAAATGGAGGAGAAAGATCGAGAGATCGGCTCGAAAAGAACCAGAAAAAGAGGATCATATATGAGCTCCTCTATCTGGCTCATTACAGGGGGATTGCTGTTTATTCTATAAAAATAAGGGGGTGTCTATATGTACACCCCCTTGTGTGTAAATAGCATTGCTCTTTGTGTAATTTATTAAAAAGGGGTGTACATATAGCATTGCCCTAAAAATAATTGAATTAGGCATAATTAATCACACGGTTTATTGGGGAAAATGGGGAAAAGGAAACTTTTGGGTTTGGATTTCACAATACCAAATGAAAATCATAGTTTAAATTATATTTATTTTAAATTATATTATATGTATATTCATATAGAAAAAGCTTCGTTTTCAATTACGGAACCATTTTGTCGGAGTTTGGTTAGATCAACATATAACCGTCAGTGGTTACAAACCCGACGAATGATTCCGTAACGGACCAGTAGCATCTGCCATTAATATATTAAAAGAATATGATTGGTAAACAACATTAATATTTTTTTATTTTGTTGGCTTTTATTTACATGTGATTGTCAGCTAATTTGTTCAACTGTTCTAATCTAAATGTTGGTGTTTTCTCAGTCAGAAAAGAGTAGGAAATACAATTACTAATTTAAAAATATGAATAAAAGTATAATATTTTATAATATGTTTAATTTAATATGGATAAAAATGTGACATTTTATAGTATCAATAATATGAGAGTGACATTTTAAATAACATCCACATACCGCTGTTTCTGTATTTTTTTAATTATTATTATTATTATTATTATTATTATTATTATTATTTTTTTGTTATGGAATTCTTGAAGCACTAATTTTTCAAAAAAAAAAAAAAAGTATTTTGAATTTTAAAAATGGAAGGACCGTTGAACTGTGGTTGGACCAACTAATAAAGTTTTGAAACAGCTAATAATAATAATATTGGTTGATATAAAAAGCTATCCTTAAAGGGGTGGTTGAATTGAAAACTAGCAATTTTGGAACTATATTTAATTTGGGAGGTTGCAAATGAATTTATTCAAGCGTAATGTAACAGCAAATTCATCATAAATTAAACCAAAAGAAGAAAATGGCAACAAGTATAATTCAAGTTTTGAAATATATGTCATCTTCTAACATAGATGTTGATGTCTTGGCACCATCTAATAGAGCAATAATTGGTAAAAATTGATGTTACGTGCTAAGGTCTTGATACGAAATCATTCCGTCGGAGTTTTTGTCAAAGATATTTGATCTAACAGTTACAAACCCCGACGAAATGGTTTTGTAACAAGACCGTAACATCTTTCTACTACAAAACCTATACAACATTAAATACTTGCCATCAAATGTTGATTTTCCTTCATTGTTGACAATTTTGACCTATCAACTGACTTTTTAGCCAAAAAGAAATAGAGAAATGAATAGTCCAAGCTACTCATAGGCTAAATTCGACTTAATTACCCTTATCGAAGTTTTTATTTTTTATTTATTATTACAATTGGCTCAACACACTTTTACATGAAACAGTATCTTCACCGACAGGAACAATTTTCGAACATAGTTAACAAATTTAATGTTAATTTTATATATATTTTTTTGTCCAAGCACCTCAAAAAAATGTTAAGAAAACAACAACCCCTTTTCACTGCATTTTTTGTGAAAAAAAAAAAAATAAAAATCCGTGCAACCCCATTGGGTAATGATGCCATGGGACATTTTATTGTTCCCGTTACGGAACTATTCCGTCGGGATTTATAACCATTAGATCAACTATTCACGACTGTTACATAATGATCTAACTGTTCCAAATTTCGACGGAATAATTCTATAACGGGAGTGTAGCATTTCCCTGATGGCCATATGCTTTACACGAAATGTACACTCACACAAGGGTGTAAAATTGATATTTAACTCTTCAACACTCAAAAGTAACTATTATTACATTATATCACAATAGGACTTTTCACTTGGAGCTTTCTGCAAAAACCATGTTTGAAGAAACCCAGGATTGAGACTATAAGATTAAGATGTATTAGGTAAAAAAAAAGAAAATGAAGATGATGGTACAAATGTTAATAGAAATATATTAAACAAACTGCCCTTTTAAATGATCATCATCTGTTCAGACAATTACAGGGGAAAAAAAAAAAAAAAAAAACTCACTTCATCTTGGACATGGATTTTCTGGCTTCATTAATGGCGGCACAAGCAGCGTACACAACGAGCTTCTTCACCTGCAAACAAGTGAAAAGATTTAAAATGAATTCAGTGTTTAAAGTTAATAGTCTGAAAACAATCACTGAGAGCAGAATTTCGATTTTTATAATCGAACTTCACTCGAAACCTGAAGCCATTCGCTTCACCGCGTTCATGATTTGGAACAGATACTCGTAAAATAATAGAAACAAATGCGAAACGAGTTATTACTTGTTAGTATTCTTTGAAAAAGAGACTTTTCTGTAATAAACTATCTGTAGTAAAACAAAAGCAGAAAGAAAATTATCTGGTAGCTAATAATAAGTACCTCAAGAATATCTTGTTTTGATCTATGAGAATCTTGAACCTTACGAAACTCGTGTGTTAATCGGAAGCATTCTTGAACGTTATCGGGTGAAACAAAGTCCATAGCAACTTTAGTGCACGACTGAAAAAAAAAAATAAAAATAGCAGCATTACACAGAAGATGAATACATGCAGTGAAATAGTTCAAATTGACAGAAAAGAATGCAACTTTTCATTATAAAGAAGGAAAAAAATAGAAAGAAAGAACATAAAAGATAAAATCGAAAACTCTAAGATCAAAAACTTATGTACTAAATGAGAGCTCACCTTTCTGTTTCTCACTTGATAAGGACAGCCAGCAGGAATGAACACAGCCTCACCAAGATGTTGCTCAAATGTCCAAGCTTCAACATCTTAATTTTTGTAAAAAATAAATAAGATTTCGGTTAACTTTCTGCTCGGATAATTATGTTAAAGACACGAACGAATATACGTATATATATACATTATGCATATATAACTCACCAAATTCCTTCTTCAATTGTTTTTTGTGCTTCTCATCCAAATAAAACACCTGGTCATGGATAGGATGCACAATCTATAGCAAAAGCAAAAGCTCAATAAAAAAATCACCTTTTTGCCTTAAAAAAA